AGAGAGAGGAATGGGGAAGATTCCTGAACTTGATCCCACACATGCACAAGTGAGCTCCTGAGCTGAGAAAGCGATGGCTAGTGCCTCAAAGGTCATGTCTGTCTCTGCTCTGCTCAACCTGCAACTCCCCCCACCCTGAGCAAGGGACATACTCCCACCAGGAGCAGCCTTGGCAGAGCCTGCCTTTCCCTTCATTTCAGCCCCCATGGCTACCACAGTGCCCCACACTGTCAGGGCTAGGCCCTGCTCTTCACTAACAACTAAACTCACTAGAGGTCCAGCTGGCTTTGAATAGGTTTACAGGAAAAATAAACTCCCCAAGACTCACACATAACTGATCCACAGTGAAACACAGAAGGAGGAACCACAAAACACAACTCCTCCATGAAGGTTGCAGTGGAGGGCCAAAACCTGTGAAATGGGTACCCTGCATTCAGGCTTCTCCAACAGGTCCTCTTCTCCCACACAGAAATCTTCTCTGGGTAGAAAGAGGAATTTGTGCATTTGTTGGGGATTTCCAGATGCCAGGCAGACAGTTGCACTCATGCAAATGTGATGCATCAGAGATCTGATGTGTTGTAGTTAAGATGTGCAATCAAGTGGAGGAGACAGTACCCCACCAGCACTGGTCATACAGTATCCTTGCTCCTGTGGCCAGGCAGCCACTTGGGACTCTGTCCATGGCAATGGGGGAGCCCTGCCCTGTTTCTAAAAGCACCAGCGTATCTCACCTGAGGAAGATGGTGGTGCCTTGCTTAGGTGGCAGTAGGCAGCTGTGAAACTTCTCTCTGCAGTCCAGCTGCTAGTGGGAGATGAAGAGCAATGGCAAGGAGAGCAGGAAGAGGAGAAAAAGGGGAGAAAAAACAGGACTAAGAGACAGGGTGGTGCCATACCAGCAGGGATGGGGTGAGAAAGGCTCCTGAGGAGCAATGGTGGGGAGTTTGCATGAACCTCCAGCACTCTCCAGGTCCACAAATGCATGCCCTGAAGAGCTACAAGCAGGACATCTCCCTGGAGGGGATGGATCCTTCAGCTCCTTTTGAGCACTAAATTGTGACTAGTGTTACCAGTGTGGCCACGCATCCCAACATAACTGCCGGGAATAAAAGGAGGGAGAAGATTAAGGGAGAGATGTGGGTTTGCAATCCACGAAGATCCAGGGAGAGGAACAGGACAGGCGATGGCTGCACTAGACATCCTGTCTCCCTAAAGATGACCATGTAAACCGAATGTATGGGATGAGACAGGGTGGAAAAGCAAGCCTGGAGGGCACTGCTTGGGGGGTACTTCCATTGGCACTATGAACCATGTCTGGCCTGTGTTGGCCCTCTCTGAAAATATCTCTGGCAGCAGGATGGAAAGATGAGCACTGGGAAGCAAGGGGACTTGGTCTGTTATGAATGCCCTGGGTAAGGTTTTACACAGACACATCTCTCTAATGAGGACAGACTGCAGGAGCTGGGCCTGTTTAGTCTAGAGAAGACTGAGAGGGGATCTCATTAATGCACAAAAATACCTCAAAGGCAGGTGCCAAGAGGATGGTGCCAAACTCTTATCAGTGGTGCCCAGTAACAGGACAATGAGCAATGGCCATAAACTAAAACAGAAGAAGTTCCACCTCAACATGAGGAAGAACATCTTTATGTAGAGGGTGGCAGAGCAGTGGAACAGGCTGCCCAGGGAGGTCATGGAGTCTCTCTCTTTGGAGACATTCAAAACCTACTTGGATGCATTCCTGTGTAACCCACTCTAGGTGACCCTGCCTTGGCAGGGGGGTTGGACTAGATTATTTCCAGAGGTCCCTTCCAACCCTAACAATTCGGTGATTCTGTGATCTCTGACACCTAATGGACATGGGACTGGGAAGACCATTGGAAAGCCTTCTGTCCCAAACTGCTCTATAGCATGCTCTGCACACACCAGGTGTCAGCATCCTCCAGCCATGCCAGGCAAGGTCTGACTTGAAAATATAGAATAATAATATAGAAAATAAACCCTAGGGAGTTTTGTAAGCTAAAGAGAAGAACTGGTTTCTTCATGTACCTGAGCAAAGCTCAGAGCAGCAGCCCAGTCATTTCAAAGCTATCGGTCCCAGGTCACCTGTAGGGAGGGACTGGCACAGTGTGGCATTGAGGGCAAGGACATGGTGACGTCTCCATTAGAATGCACAGTGGTGCAACAAGCTGGGATTGCAACTATTCCTGCCTACCACAGGCTTGGAGCAAACAGCCTTCCAGGCCTCTTGCCTTGGAGCAGCTCTCGTGAATGTCTGGAGCCTCAGCAGCCTCAGCAGCCCTGGCCTCCCGGGCCAAGGTGCAAGGGAGAGAGAAAAGTGAGAAGCATATTCCCTCATGCAGAACTGTTAAGAGAAACAGAGTGGAAAAGGAGAGGAGAGGGAGCATGGAGCGGACATACACACGCTCTCGACTGGCCCTTTCGAATACTTTCCAACCACAAAAGCATCTGCATCACCGCCCACCACAGCTGAACTGTCAAGAGAAGTTTCTCTGAAGGCGAGAAGGGTCTGGTACTACAACCCCCAGCCACAGATGGGGAGTGCCGAAGGGCTGCTCAGCTAAGGCTCCCTCCTGCCACCCACCCGTGCTCGTGTTACATCCTCACCAGCTCTGTGAAGTGTTTTTTTGGTCTACCCTGAGCAGATTCCTCAAATCAAGGTGCTTTTCCTGGTGGGGGGAGAGGGTGGGACTGGGGCAGGGCTGCAAGGACCTGGCAGTCAGCACTCATTGGCTCTTTCTGGAAAGAAGATTTCGCGGCATCGCTGGACCGTGTCTTGGGGGGACTGGACACTGTGTCCCACAGTGCGGGGATCATCATAGATTTCATAGTCGTTCCCTCCCTGCAGGGGAATAGAGAACAGGGACAGCATTAGCAGGGTCTTGCCAGAACAACCTCATCCGTGAATCTGCATTTTGCTCTGTCCCATGGGGAGCTGGGGTGGGAGCCAGCAGCTGGGCAGGCAGGGACCTGGTGGGAAGGGGCAGTCAGGACTTTGCTGGCCCCAAGGGCTGGGAATTCTGCTCCCTCCCTCTTGCCTCCCCTCTTCAATGTCAGGGGAGGAGCATAGGATGGGGAAGGTCCAAGACCAGCAAAGCTTGTCCAGGGGCCTGGGGTTAACCCCTGCTCTGTTTGTGGAGGGGTTAATAGTTTACCCCTGTGGAGGGGCAGGCACATTTGGGGAGCAGAGGTTGCTGGCATCTGGAAAGAGTTGAGTGGATGATTAATCTAGTCTCCAGCAGCAAGGAAGCATCATCCTCCACTGCTCTAAAGGGAAGGTGAAGCTGTTCCTGCTGTTGAGAAATCCTCTCCTAAGTGCTGGGGGCTTGTGTTTGGGGTCATTCAGGCTGCAGGAGTGGCTGCCACCCTACCAAGGATGCTGGGATAAGGAAAGCAAGGCTGAGGTGGGCCTGCTTGCCAGCACAGTGAATCCAAGGTGATTTCCCCGTGACCCAGTAGGCCTGCTGCCATCATGGAGACCATGACAAACCACACCACAGGACGGCATCTTCCTCCCTCATGCTAAAGGTCTGTATCGGTGCCGATGGGACCCGAGCCATTGGACCTGTGATAGAGCAGCTCCATGCAGGAGAGAAAGCGGCCATGTGTGGGGCGAGTGGGGAATACTCACAGGGGTCGTCTCATTCCCAAAGAAGTGGATAGTGTCAAATCTCTCGTCGTCGAGCACATTGAGGCAGTAGCGCTTGTCCCAGCCCTCTGGGAACACGTCAAAGCTGATCATGCCACCTGCCAGCAGAAGAGAGGGCATCGGGAAATGTCACTGGGAGCTGGCAGGGTGTCCCACCCTGGGATGGGCAGGAGGATGGGAGGGAGCTGGATGTCTGTGTGGACCCACCACTCCAAAGAGCAGCCACGAACACCACCAGCTCTGCCTGGGTGTTTCTCTTGGCATGTGGCTAGGACAGTGGCAGAGGCTGTTCCTATGACAACAGGCTGGAGTGACATCAGTATGGCTGGGGTGACATTAGCACAGCTTCCCTGCAGGCAAGCAGGAACCAGCAGGTTCCTCCCAAGAGAGGCATCTTTGGGGGAGATCTGGGGTCATGCCTTGTGGATAGCACCAGCATGTTCTATGTCCCAACAGGGGACAATGACCTTGGAGACTAGCTCTCTCCTAGGCTCCTGCTGGACATCACTGGCCCTTCAAAAACCACTGTTCTGATGCTCCTTAACTGTGCAGGGACTGGGAGCTCCCATACACTGTCTCTGCACACTGATAAGGACCTTGTCACAGAGGTACCACGAGCCCATCAACATAATTGGGGCACAACCCTGGCCCATCACCTCTTGACACAAGACCTAAGTGAGGGTTGCCAGCATCTGGAGAGGCACCGAGTCAGATGTGGCAAACATACAGTGGTCAGGGAGTTTTCTCAGAGAGCCTGCATATGGACATGGACACCCACAGCCAAGGGTTAACAAACTTCCCAGCCCTTGCTCTTAGACCAGGTAGAGTTTACTCCAGCACTGGGCTGCCTTTTGGGGGTGCTTGGAGGCAGCACCTTCTCTGTCCTCTCAAGGTGCCCCACTGCATGCACAGGCTTGTCCCAACACCAAGACGGGTGACATGTTCCTCCCAAAATAAAGTCTGCGACTTAGGGCACATATAGGTTTAGGTCTCGCTCAGAGCCAGAGAAATGGGGATTTGAGCTGGGATGTACATCCTCTTGCTAGTCCAGGTCTCTGCTCATCTTATCCAGGCAATCTACTGGGGTATCCCTCAGAAACCCTGGCGTTTCACACTCTCCTTCATAAATGATAATCCTACCTCTCTAAGAAAGGTGGTGAGTAGACAGGCACCAATTCCCAGGGTTGCTCAACCATGCAAGTCCTGATGCCATAGTCCTCCCCTCCCTGGCTGTTTTGAGTGTCCCCACTGGTTTGGGGATCCCAAACCAAGCCTCCTTGGAGCCTGAGGGAGCTTGAGCTCGAGCCTGTGTGTCCAGCTTGGAGCAGAGGAAGCGGACAGGATGCCCTGGACAGAGCACTGTGATATAAATGGGAGCAAGTGCCCTATGAGCTCAGGAATGGGGATGTCCCCAAGCTTGCAGCAGGATCCAGCATCTGAGCAGGAGCTAAACTTGGTTGATTATTAAAATCCTTCCTGGTTTTGCATCCAAAGCCATTGACCTGTGAAAAATACTGCCTTTCACTGCATTCTAGCCTTTCAAACAGAGCTGGGCAACAAGAAGGGGCTCCTGATGCCAGCTGGAGCAGGTAGAAAATCAAAGGAAGAAGAGGTGGTGTGGAGGACAGCCAGCACTGTCCCTCACCTAGGTAGACCAGGGGTCTGGAGGGGCTGCAGGGAGATCTCCCACCACCTCTGGGCCTTGCATCCTCCACAGCCAGGGAGAAGGCACATGAAGCCAGCTTGGCAGAAGGGTCCCTTTTCTGTGTTCCCTGTTTTTGGATCCCTGTTTTGCCCCCCGCATTTTCTTTGTGGAGGAGCGAGGGGCCTGTACCTCCCCTTGTCTTCATGCTTTTACACAACAGGCCTGGGCTCTTCATGGCAGCTTTCCAAAGTCAGAGGAGAAAGGCCCATTGTTTTGCTCTCACACCCCGTGCCTGCAGGGACACAGTGGCAGGGACCTTGTCTTTCTCTCCTGTAACAAACAGTGTGTGTCAGTGCTGTGGGCAGCACAGGATGCCCCTGGCAGGATGCTGAAGGCAAGCAGAGGCTCTTGGAGGAAAGCCCTTGGAGGACCAGATCCTTGGTACTGGCCTACGTTGGATGCAGGAGTGGGTGTCACTCGCTGCCTCTCAGCCTCGCCACCCCATTGCCCTTTGGCTGGGCTGACACACGACACCTTCTTATCTCACACTTACCCACCTGCCCTGCAGAGGGTCTTCTTCCAGCATCATCCCCACCACTTACACACCCTCATTTTTTTCCCTGTCCTGGCCAGACCCTCAGGATTGCTCAAGCCCCTCCTCTGGTTCCTCACCTTCAGTAAGCTGGCTGTAAGAGCCCCACCAAGAAGTGGCCCTGCAAAAGCCCATGGCATGGAGCTGTAAACTCCTTACCCCTGGTCAGCTCTTTTTCCAGGAAGAAAGATGTTTCCCTTGCAGCCCACCTTCCCAAGAAAACCCCAGAGCCAAGACACACATAAGGATACTGTCTCATTCCTAGAGAGGAGTGCATGTGTTGGAGGTCTGCTGGCTGCCCTGTTGCTGATGCTTCAGCCAGAACAGACTCTTTGGGCAGCGGTAGGCTCCATGAACTGAAATTAAGGCAGGGATAATGTCATGGAAATCTGCCTGTCTGGCCAATTCCCTGGGAGGCAAATCTGCAGCACGGTTTATTCTCTGCTGTGTCCCTGTCATGAATGCAAATGTGATGCCCCTGTGGCAGTCCTCTCCAGGACTAGAAGCTCCTTCTGCTCTTCCCAAGGTCTCCAGGCTCTCAGAGGGAACAGTTGGGATTCTCGCTCCCCTTCCCAAAAATTTAAGGAAAACATGATAAAGACAGAGCCAAAGAAGCCCCCCCAGCTCACCTCGGGAGAAACGCAGGCCCTTGCCAGCAAACTCCCTCTGCAAGGCTGCCACAAACTTCTCCCGGATCCGCTCTTTCTGTGGACGATAAGGAGGAAGAGAAGGAAAGAGAGTTTGAAAAATTAGATGCTGACAGTCTCTCAGAATCCACTGTAACCTGTCTGCTGGGCAACTCTACCTTATTGTTCTGCTCCCTTCCCACCTGTCCTAGGCCATTTAGCCAACTTCCACCAGTCCTGCCCAGTGTCCAAGTAAAAGGCCATCAGCTCAGTCCATGGGGAAGAGCAGATCCCAGCCATTCCTTGGCAATGAAATGCAACTGTTTCGGTTTCCTAGAAGGCCAGTTCATAATCCAAAGTCTCCAGTTTTGCTTAAAAAGTCTTGCAAGGACCAATTGATCCCTCAACCCCAAGAAAGCTCCCCCAGGCAGAAACTGGTATGAGCATGGGCCAAACGCTCCAGAGACCTGCCCAGCAGATCTGCTGTGGCTCTCTGAGTCTGGAAAGCCCATTAGTTCCAGCTCTGTTGGGGCTGGGAGAGTGGGAGAGAGAAGACAGCTGCTGAGCTGTCTTTGGGTACTGTAAATGAGGAAACATGCTGTTAAATAACTGCCTTATTCCCTGTGGCTCTCCCATAGCACAGGGAATCCTGCTGGCCACCCCTTCACATTGGTGGTCCCCAAGGAAATCCAATTCTTCCATTCATCTGTGTTTCCCTTTGGGTTTTCTGACTCTCAGTCCTGTCTCCACTTTGCTGCATATGCGCAGCTTGGAGCTGGGCTCCATTCTCCTTGGGAAGGGGGGAAGCACATAAGACCTGAGATCTGTGGTTGTGCAAAACCAGCAAATGGGAGGGTGAGCCCAAGTCTGGCCCGTGTACCTTGTCCAGCTCAGAGAACTCAATTCGCTCTTCTGGGGTGCAGCTTCGTCCGATGGGGGAGATGTTCAGCATCCCGTTGCGAAACTCAATGAAGGTTCCTCTGCGGGTGGGCAAAGGAAGAAGGTTACTGGGGCAGGGAGAGAAAAACAACCTTTACAGGGGAATGACTGCTTAGCAAGGCTCTGCAAGGATGTGCAGGAGGAGAGAAGCCATGCCCGCTCATGGGTGCTTCATGCCAGGCAGGGACTAGGCAACAACAGCTGCTTAGGATCCCCCTGGGGCACCTAGTTTTATAAAAAGAGACTGTAAGAGAAGAGGAATAAACAGTTCCTGTGTGCCCTGGGGACAGGCTGGATGCAAGGAGCTTAAGTGAGGTGATAGGTAATGTTTTCCAATGTTGTGACAACTGCAAGGACAGCTATTGCCTGGCCTGGACCAACTGCCTGATGAGACTGTGGCCTCTCCACCCCATGAGGCTTTTAAGAAATATTGTGTGGGCTGTGAAGGTGGCAGTACCTTAGGGCAGTGGAATAGCACAGGTCGGTGTAACTCGCTGCTGATGTCCACCAACAGGCTGAGGAGCAATCAGGCAATTTGCATCCTCGTAGGCCACAAATCAGGGCCTTCGTATCTCCCATTTAACCCCTGAACCTCTGATTGCAGCTCGTATCTAAGCTTGCACAGACAGCATCCAGTTCCTGCTTGCCACCCTCACCTTGTGCTGGGATCACTGCTCTGCTGCTTCCTCAGTGGGCTGGTTGAAAGCACTGAGCTGGCAGAAAATTGCTACCTTCTTTTCTCTCTGCTGTAAACCCAGCTAGTTTTGTTTGCTTTTCAAGGGGCCAGACAGGTACCAGCACTGGTGGGACAGAAACAACAGGGGATGGCAGCACGGCTAATTTGAAAATAGACTGAAACTCTTGTGGAAACCTAGCTGGAGCAGAGAGATCCCCTTCCCTGTCCAGTTGAGGATTCCTGATCACATTTAACCCTCTGATGTCCCTACCAGCCCTGCCTACTGTTTCTCTGTGATAAAGTGAGTCTCGAGGAAAAACTCTCCCCCTCCTGTCTCGTTACACAGTGAGGAACACCATGGGGAAAGACACAGGCAGCCACACCTGCAGCCTGGGAGTAGCATCTCTGCAGCACCCAGGGTTTGGTGGATCACGCCCCAAGCTAAGACTCGGGAGATGTGGGTTAAAGTCCTTGGTTTGCTAGAAATCCTATAAGCCTAAATCCACAGAGCTACTTGGGAGCTGAAACTTTGCCAGGCTGTTGGGTAACTAGACAGCAATGAGGCAACCAAACAGCCTTGAGGGTTCTGGGTCCCAGCACGTGCTTTCAGGGGCCTGTTCAGCCAGCAGGCCTGTTGCAAGGAGCCACCCTAGCCCCTCTCACCAGTCCTTTTATTGTCACATAGTGACTCATATCAAGCAAATAATTTGGATCACAGTGTAGCAACTTTTACCAGCTTAATCTCGACCCAACAGCTCACCTGCTCAGGTTCACTGTACAAACACATGGGCAGAGCAGGGAAAAAACAGCCAGGGCGAGGGGAGGACAGAGCTGCTGCTCCCAACAGCACTGGGTGGCTCATGCATTTGTGAAACTGTGGTCTGAGGTGGGGTTTGACTCTGCATCCAGCCTGGCTTGACTGCAGGCTGCCTCTGAAAGAGGTCCTCCTTCATGCCATCTGTTCCCTCTCTCTCCTTTCTGGACTAACAGGATGAGCTGATCCAATGGAAAACTACCCTTTTCTGTCCTGGTAGTGGTCTGGTCTTCCTTCAGAGGAGGTGTACCAACTCAGCTCCCCCTCTGGCTGCTGGATATCAAGGGGAAGAGCAGACAGGAACACATGGCTGGGAGCAGGGCAGGGCCAGCCAGTGACACTGGATTAGAAACAGTGTGAAACCTTGTGCTCAGACACTGGACTTCCCACCTTAAGATCCATTGTTTGCCTGTTTGGAAACTCATAGGACCAATAGTGCCTGATGCCCTGACCAGTAACGAGCTGGCACTATTGTCCTAAATGGGATATGTGCAGTGGCTGTACCTTGCTTCCCCAGGAGGAAAATCTGAGGGGCCAAAGAACTGGCATTACGCTAAAACAACGCAGACTCTTCAGAATAAAGACCCTCCTCCATTATTTGCCCAGGCTGCCCAGCCCAGTGGGACAGTGATCCTACACAGTGCCTCTAGATGCTAAGATAAAACTTGAAGCAAGACAAGCTCTGTAGCTCAGCTGTTTTTATGAGAGCTCTGGAGCCCAGGGCTCCCTAGAATTCAGTGTTATGACTACCATTTGCAAGCACTTGGGCCGTTACCGTTTCTTGGGCAGCTTCAGCAATGCCATGTAGTTGAGACAAAAGTTGATCAGATCCTGCAGCAGCTCTTCCCCCAGGTGATCCTGAATGGCCTGCATGAAGAAAAGGGGAAGTGAAGAAGATGCCTGACTTCCTAGGAAGCCCACCTAGAAGAGTGGGACATTTAGATCTGGCAACTGGGGAGAAGAGGCTGGGTGGGGCAGGCACCGGTCCCCACGGCGTGCAGGGCACAGGGCAGGAAAGCCATGGCTGCAAAGGGAGCTGGACCTACCTGCTTGGAGACCAGCTGCCCATTCTTGTATTGCACTGTGCCGTTCTCTGCAAAGACGTAGTCAAACTTTTCAATGACTGAGGGGGAAGGAAGCAAAAGAGGAAACATGAGTATTGCCTGGGAAAAGCAGCGAAAAGGACTGGGCTCAGGGCTGAGTGAGCATCCTCCTGCTTTCTTAGTACCACACTTTCCACAGCTTCTGTGCTCTGCAAAGGGCCACTGACCATCCTACTCTCCTTGCTTTTCACAAGGTGGATGAGGAGATTATCTTCTGTTCCCGGGGAGTTGACGCACACAGGGGGAAACGACCTGACCGAGGTCACGGACTGAATCAGTTGCAGGACAAAGATAAGGGCTCCAAAATGTCAGGCTTTCAAATACATGCGTGTTACTCTGCTCTCTCCTCTGCCCTCCCCATTGCCAGGCTGTCGGGGTGATGTGGTTACTGGTTATCTAACTCCAGCCCCTCCTGCAACCCAGACACGCAGCACTGGCGACTCAGCAATCAGCCTCAGCCGGGAATTTCTCGGCCTCCCTAACGAAGCGGGAGCAGAGCTTGGAGCCCAGTGGCGCTTGTTATCCATGACGGAGAAGGAAAAAACGGAGGGAGCAGAGGCTTCTACCCTATTCTACCCCGTGTCCCCAGTGGAACCTGCCGGAGACCCCACATGGAGCAGCAGGGAGGCAAAAATTGCCGGAGGCTCCTGCCTGCTGTATCGAGGGGTGCAGCTGTAAAAGCCTTGATGAAGCTCGTACAAAACTGACGCTGGAGTCGGCAGCGTGGATCGGAGCATCCCTGCCGGCTCTCCAAAGAGGGAGGGGGAGCCAAGCAGCAGCTCCGCCTGGGCGCCGCCAGCCTCCCCAGGGGCAGCCTTGGGGTTGGATTTAGGGCACAGGTGACCCCCGGGAGACCTCGTCGGCCGCGTCTCACCTTCGTCCCCGTCCCCCAGCTGCTCGGCTATTTTGGCATAGTCGGAGCCTCCCACCACGCCGATGAGCACCCTCTCCCGCAGCTCCCGCAGGAACGCATCCACCTCCGGCTCGATTTTCTGGAGGGGAAGCAGCGGGTGAGGCCGCAGCCAGCGGGACGAGCTCCGCCACGCTGACCTCGCCCCCGCAAAAAAAGCTCGCCGCCCCCGCGCCTCGCTACCTGCCGAGGCGGCGTCAGGGTCCCGTCCACATCGAAGAGGCACAGCACCCGGCCCCGCGCCGCCGCCATGCCCGCCGCCGGCCCGGGCTCTGCGGGCGGGAGGCGGGACCGCGCCGGGGAGGTGATGGCGGCCGCCCGCCCTCCCCGCGCCCACGGGCGGGACGTGCGGCCGCTGTCTCGGCCCCGCTCCTGTGCCCCCGCGGCTCCATCGCCCCGCCAGTGCAGCCTTAATGTGCCGGGCGTGAACGGCGTCCCCGCTTCAGCTCTCTCCTTAAATCCTCTGCTATAGAGCTCTAACGAGGCACCTCGAGGAGGGAGGGTGTGGAGGTGCGTGTTTTCACACTTGCTGTTATTACTGCAGTGCCCCCCGGAATGGAGGGGCTGTGGGTCTGGATTGAGCTGCCTGGTAAACTCAGCTTCTCTGCGTGTTTCTGTGTCCTAGCGAAGGACACTTCACACTGTCCTAGCAGCACACACTCACCCATTCAGTCCCTGTGCCTCATCTTGCTTTTCCAATAGGATTAGCTATTCATAGCTAATACTTTCACTGGAGAAGCGAAAATACCCTCTGCGCAAAGCTAGTAACTTTTGCTTTGACCTGCTCAGAAGTCATTTAGGATTTAATTAGACCATCTGGTCAGATCATATTCATATGGCTCCATATCATGCTGGCCTGATATTTGACAGTGGACAGCCCCCTCCCCACTGCCATCGCCTCAAATAATTCCTGAATTATTTTCCAAAATCAAAAACAACCTATGTGGAACATTCAATGCTTTCTGCTCAACAGTTAGCTTGCATTCCCTTCCCCAATGGTGCTCAGTGCTGAGCTAGGTTGGAACTGGGGGATGACATTTTTTTACTGATTGTTTTTTCCTCAGTATTATTTGTTGCAGGATATTGTGCAATCCCTTTTCCCAGTTCTCCACCAGATTCCTCTCAAAATGAAGCATCTGGGTGGCTTCACAGATTGGTTTTTTGTTTGTGGTTTATGATTTTCCTGCTCCCACTCAGTGAAAGGAGGGTGTACAGAAACAACGTTAATAATTTTGGTTTACCAAAACATCCTCAGCTACTTTCTGGGGGAGACATTCATTGTCCACTGGCTAATGCCACCAGGACAGCTGTTTCCACACTGTTTCTGCGAGTTGCCTTTCCAACATAGTGAGTCAGGCAGTCTTGGATGGGTATTACAAGTGTTATTTGCCCCAGCATTGATTTTCTTGCAGAATCACAGCTGCTGGGGCCTTCTGGATTAGACCCAGTTACGGGCTCCTGCCTCTGGAAAGTGGGACTCTTTACTCAGATGCACTGAAGCTCCCAGAATGGTTTCTCAGCACCCAGCTGCTTTGTATGCAATTGAGCACTGAGTTTTTAGTTCAGTTTAGGGTTATGCTCATTTAGAGGACTTGTCTAGGTGTGGTTACACATATCATCAGTCAATGTGTGGATGCTTACTCCAGAATATGAATACTTCAAAGTGTGCCTACCATGGCATGCTGACGAGTAAGCAGAAATGCTTTCATGTGTTTGGGGTACTTGAGTACCAAAAGCCAAAAAACTGCTCTCCCATGTAGCAGAACTGCGAGTTAATGCCCAGGGCTCTCAAAAGACAGCCCTGGGGTCAGATACACAGTGAACTCCAAGGGTTTCAGGAATGCAAGCCTTTATTTTTCATAAACCATGGTATGGTATGAGGATGAGACTTCCCAGTCTGGATGAAATAAGCACAGATTTAGGAAAACCTGCCAGCTCACACCTATTGCAACCCTGGCATTGTAGTGTCCTTGCTACCAGGTTCTTGCTGTAGTCCAAGCTGCCCCATGGTCTTGTCTCCTGGCTAGTCCTACCTGCAGCTTTCTTGTCTGGGAGAGACCTCGCTCCATGCCTGTTGCACTGACATTACTATGGACATCTCAGCCACTCTCCCCAGGCTCAGGTGCATCCCTGTGCTTCGAGGCAGCAGTGCCACCTCGGGGCACTTTCCTGAATTGGGAAGACTGTTAAAATTCAGTCAGCATTCACATTTTCACACTCCTGCAGTGCCATCAGGTTTATGCTACCAGCAGAGCTTTCCAAAACTTGAACTACCTGCTGTGCTTTCTACAGCTTATTTGTCACACTGCTTTAGAAACTCTCTTCGAGTCAAAACACCTCTCCCAGCACCTCCATGGCCATTTGGTATCACCCAGTGAGGACTTGGGACATCTTGGTTTCCCTGAGAGCATAAGCATGCCTTTTGGTGAAGTGCACAGCTGTGCACAGCTTGTTCCTTCATCCAGGTTAGCTCTGAGCAGGGCCACTGTGGCTGTTGTGGTTATTTAATACTTTGCGCTTCAACCACTGGATACATTCGCTTGACTGCGGCTCAGATAGGCAGCAGCTGTCATCAGGAATAAAATCTCTGCTACTAGTAGCAAAGGCATGTATTTTGTTAGAAGTTTAGAAGGTAAGCTGCTGTGAGCAACTGTCTTACACTCTGTCTAGGGCTGCCAGTAAAGTCAAGGTTTTCCTTTAAATTAAAAAAAAAAAAATTAAAATTTAATTTAATTTTAAAATACCCAACTGCAGGTATTTTGAGTGGGGCCAGTACTAGTACTTGATAGCAAACCAGCACCACATCTGAGTAACACAGCCCAAAATAACCACAATCACGCATCTTTGTTACAACCTCCTTCTGTTACAAGACCTCCTCTGTATTACGCTGATACAGACTGTTACAGAAACAGCCTGTGTGGTTTATCATTTGGATGCCATCAATAAGCATGCAGAAGGCCAAACCAAGCAGAATTAATGTCTTCCCCAGAGCCAGATATTTGGGGCAGTGCTACATAATCCTCACCAATATCTCCTCTGCAGCTTCAGAGGAACCCAGGCATGAAGTCTACTTCTTAGCTTTTTTTTTTTCCATTTTGAAGTAGCAGCATCAAGCTTAGAGCCTTTTCCCATGTTTAAACTCTGCTGGGCCTCTTCTTCAGCAGCAGACACTAGACATTTCCTTCTTGCACACTTAAATGAGCAAGGGCTGTACAAAACCTGTGCTGACAGAACATCATCTTTGAGCTCATCTGAGCTGTGTCAAGCCTCAGGAGTATGATTTTAGATACCACAGTACTTACAGAAGAAAAATTTTTCCGAACTTAAATAAGAATATTGCCTGTGGCCAGTTCAGGAAAGGGCAGTAGCCACCACTACTTCCAGTAGCAGTACTTGGCACAAACTGCTTGAACAATTTCTCATCCTGCACTTCCCAGCTGGGATCAGAGTAAAGATGATGACTTCTGGTCAGCTGCATTCACTGGGCAGCTGTGTGGGCACATGCATTCAAACAGGAAATTTGCTGTATTTCTTTTTATTGTAATAGAAAAAAACCCACAAATAAATCAAAACATCACTTTCTGCCTAAAGACATTATTAACATTTTTAAAATGGCACGGGGGAACCCCAGCAATACAAGACAGAATAGTAAGTGTGGGCAAAAGAGTTCTGTTCCCGTTCAGGGGTTCAGTTTCCCTGCCCCTTTGTCAATCAGCTGGCTGAAGTTCATCACCAACATACACTTACATACACTTCTCAGTCTAGTTTATATTTGGCGGGGTGGAACATTGAGGGCACAGTCCTGCAATTTATACATAACTATCTTTGGAGAAAATGGGTTTCCTAAGAGTCCTACAGGGTACAGGGGTCTTATTACCCAGTAAGACCAAGCAAACAGGATTCCCCCCTACAGCTCTTTTGCCACAAAACACAAGTGTAGGTCCCGAGCCCAGAAGGCCCCCTCAGGAGCTCCCTAGCTATTGCAAACAGTATATGGCTGAGTGAAATTTTACCCAGTGACCTTAAAGTAGGAGCATTATCTCTGCAAAGGGGCTGCTCAGGAGGGGAAAAGGCAGATTGCAAAATGCATGGGGTGAATGTCTTCCTTTTCTTTCCTGCCACCTGAGAGGATGTAAAAAGTCCTGAAGTAGGCAGAAACCATGGCACCAGTGCTTCCACAGGCAGCTGCACCTGAAGTGATAGTTTGCTGAAAGACAAGCAAGCACAGCTGTGCTGCTTGCAGGTACCAAACTAGCATACCTAGATGTTGGGCTGCACTGTATCAGCTTGAGTATACCCGCTCAACTAAGGAAGCTCCAAGATCTCTAACACGATGTACAATGTTTTGTGGCACAGTTGTGTGCATTAAGATGAAAGGCTAGGCTGGTTACTCTTCACAGAATAGGTATGAAAAAAGACTGGAGAGGATACACATAGTAAACAGGAAATCTAAGCTATTGCTCAGCAGAAAACAGACACCAATCCTTCCTCCAGCAGCATCAAAAGGCATTAATAAATGACTTATTATAGAATGCTTTCTGCAAACAGGACACTTTGAGGGGGAAAGATTGAAAGCTTTCGTATAAAGCAATCTGTACTAACTGCTACCATTATCTCAAAGTCCAGTCCATCAAATGAAATGCTTAAGGAGAAGTTGATGGCACAAGCAGAGAATGACAAGGAAAAGAAGCATCTGGGCTGCAGGGGCCCCTGCTGTGCACTGAAAGCAGGTACACAAAAAAAAGCAGAATGGACTGACACTACCCTATTTCCATCTGTGCAGTGGCTCCACAAGTTGCAGGGCAGCAGAGTATTTGACAGTGATGAAACTGCAGTTTTCCTCTATTCCAATCCCTCAGAAATACAAACCATTACAGTCCAAACAGAGAAATAGTGCGACAAACTTATCAAACTGCATTATTCCGGGAGAAAGAACCCAGCAGAGGAAAGATACCCCCTTTAGGTATGCAGAAAGTTTCCAGTGCAGGAAGTTTGAGATGCAGGACTGAACTTGCAGCAATACTTTTCACAACAAAGCACTGGACAAAGGGCTGTACATTTGCATAGATGCTTTTTCAGCAGCATCTGGGACGCGCAATCCCCATTTACGGAGCATCAGCAATGTTTTGGGGTTCGTCCGATGTCTTTCTTGTATTCCTTCCTAAATGTAACTGCTACAAAATTGTTCAGGAAAATAGTGTATATACATGCATGAAAACAAAACAGTGTGCCTATTCTTTCATTCCCCTGTTCTTCTCCCACTGCAAATAATTGCAAAGCTAT